TGTAAAATGTCTATGAACATCAGTGTGAGCTCCTGTAGGCAGTCTGAACGCTTCCGAAAGCTCGGCCCATCTTTCTGTTCACTGAAAGGCAATTTGCCATATTAAGATAAGCAAGATTTCTGCTCGTACATGAACTGTTGATGGCTTCCAGTACAGGAAGATCAATAATTTATAAAAAGGGTGTATAAACAGCTGTCTTTCGGTAAGTCTCAAGTCCAAGTTTTCACTAAGTACCTGGAAGTTGTTGAACACCTGGACCTCAGATGGGTATTATTTGTAACCTGGTAGCCTGAAGTTTAGGGAGCAGGGGTACTTCTTACTTCACTAAATTAATGAAAAGGACTGTATGTTATTATTGGAAAAAATTGCTGCCTGGAACAATGTTTCTAAATCCCCATCCTATGTTCAGACACAACTGAAGGTTCTCAAAAGTAACACTGAATGCAGGTAAGAATTTTAAATCTTAGAAGCTCTGCCATTCTCTCAGACAACAGAATTAGATAACGACATTTTATTTTGAGTATCTTTTTAATGAAGACACTGATTTGGGTATCCCCCCCTACCCCCCCATAGTCCTATTTGCAAATTGATGCGTCTACTAGGAATACAATTTTAAATATCTGACCGCCCCTGCTCCTTGTGAGGGAAGTTGTTCTTAAGTACCAATTCAAAGCAACAGTTAGCGGAAGGATATTATATGGTTTTAAAGGATTTTTTTCTGTTGGACTGGAAAGAAATCAGCTACAGTGGAAATTTAAATATTTACATCTGGATTAAATTGGGGGTTAATCTCATTTACTAGGTACCCGAGTGTTTTTCCACTGCCCAAGTCATAGTATTCCATAACAGTTCCTAAAAATCAAGACAGACAACAGCAAGAGAGCATATGAAAACGTCCCCATAAGGAACCGTACTGCGTATTCCGATCTGAAGCCATTTTTTTGTCATTATGAGAGTATTTAAGTGACTTCCCTGATAACTCATTTCAGCATTTGAAGAAACCTCAGATGTATTGCTCAATAGTTTGATGTGGAGAAATCTTATCCAGATGCTTTCAGGTAAGCTCTCTGCAGAATTGTTTGAATCATTTCTGAAGGACTGTAAAGACAACCAGGTGAGGGCAGTTGCACTAAAAGCCCTGCTTTTTGAGTTTGCTGAAAAAAATCAGCACCGACGTGTCTGTTTATAGAAAGCCAGTTACTATTATTACTTTGATATTGATTCTAATTCAAAGAAGATGCCAGAACAGTCAAGATCAGAAATTGGATCTTCAATATTGGAAGTGCGAGGACAATCATTTATTCAAGACCAAGAGGATGATGAAAGGTTGTGCGTGAAATTGCTTGTATTGCTTTCCTCGCTCAAGCACATAGTAAGAGCTTTCCAACATGCAATTTTCAAAGTGTAAAGCTAAGGAGATTATTTATCTTCATTTTCCATAGGATGGAATTATGAGCTCCTGAGGTTTAAAATCTACACAGAGGAAAAACTCTTTTCAAATTCATATACTGGTTTCAGTAGATCATTTGTTCATAGTCTATGCTTTTTTTTTTTTTTGGATACAAATATGGAAGCAATAATAAATTATTAATCTCAGATCACTGTGTGACTGTTCCCAGCAGAAACGGTACACAGTTAATTGTATGCTTGGTGGTAGCACAGGGGGAGACTGTCTCAGAATTCTTCTTTAATTAAAATTACATAGAATTACGGAGCACCAACTGCGAGCCGTAATGAAATGCTGGTAGTACTGGCCTGTTTATCTGGAAAATAATATCGTGATATTTAGAAAGGAATAGGTGTCCTTTATCTGAGAAAGGAAGCGTGTGTTCATGAGCAAAGTCTGACATATAAAGAAGCGATTCTCTGAGTAAATTCTCTCTATACCATACTCTTGTTATTTCCTACTACTAATATTCTTGTAAAGATTACAGACAGATAAAGAAAGATTAATTTTCAGCTCTGCCTATATGCCATGTCAGAGCAGATGACATACAGTATGAAATTTCCTCACGCTGCTTTGCCAAAGTCATCAGTCTTAAGAGAAATCCCTTCTACAAAAGAAAAATTGGGCTGCTGCGTGCTTTTCGGGCAGTAATCTGGTCCTGGAGAGATCTGCAGGGTTATGCAGTATTCAGCCGAGGCTAGCGGGACTTTGGGCTACGGATTACAGAGAAGCTATGGAGCTCTTCATGTGAGGAAGAGAGATTACCACGTTTCGGTCTTACAGTCAGTGGTTTCATATCAACTGCAGCCTATAGCTCGGAATATTTGAAAGGTGCAAACATTCAGCTGGGAGAGTACTGTTTAAGTACAGATGTTATTAACTAGGGGATGCTATTAAATAATAAGATCAAAGGAAGGGAGCAAAATTCAGACCATAATCAAGAATGGATTCCTACCTGAGAGAGAGTAAGTGTTCCCCCCTGAAAACTATCATCCCTGAAAATTAAAATGGAGGAAGGACTGAGAAAATACTCTGTGAGGAAAAACCCTCTATTGGGACAAAAGTGGCAGAAAGATGCACTTTTCAAGGGTTTATTGGAGTTAAGTGTCCAACGCAACAAAGAAAATAATTGAGATTTTGGCGCTCAGGTACTTTTCAATACCTGACCCTAAATGGAGCCCCTCTGCTGTGAGGCCAGGCTGGGAGAGTTGGGGGTGTTCAGCCTGGAGAAGAGAAGGCTGCGGGCAGAGCTGAGTGCGGCCTTCTTGACACTGAGGGTGGTGAAAGCCTGGCAGGGGTTGCCCCAAGAGGGGGTGGAGGCCCCATCCCTGGGAACATTCCAGGCCAGGTTGGCCGGGGCTGTGAGCAACCTGATGTGGTTCAAGGTGTCCCTGCTCCTGCGGGGGGGTTGGGCTGGGTGGCCTCTAGGGGTCCCTTCCCACCCAAAACGTTCCATGGTTCTATGATTCTAAATGATTTGGTAAGTCTTTCATTTTTTCCTACAAGCTGCTATCCGTCCTTTCTGTGCCTCTGCTAGAATGGTCTCAGGGAAGACTTTCTCAACAAGATTAATTAAGTCACAGATGCTGATTAGCAGTTATTTGTGGAAGTAGCTCATTCTGCACAGGCCTGAAGAACTGGGGTGCAAATGTGAGATGCCTGCCGAGAAGTGTAGGTTTATGTACTGATTTAATTTAGCTGCGTACTGTACCTTTTGTTGCAGTTTATTAAGTGTTGCTTCAGTTAAAAAGCAGACACATAGATCTTTTCAAACATATATGCAAGGATAAGTGCTGTTCAAAACCCTTCTCAAATTCAACTCCGTTCTGTTTTTATTCACACAGAAGCTAAGTTTTGAGTGCTGTGATGTGTTTGGCTTTAAATTGCGAGTTTGTAAAACATTTAAGTAAGGTCTTACTGTATAGCAGAGAATGATCTTATTTATATGACATGTACACAAACTTTCTTACTACAATTTCCGTTGTCTCCTCTCTTCTGTACCTTTCTAATGCTTGTTGCATCTACTTTTTATGTCTGGTCTTAACCACATTACGGGCAATTTAGGAATGGGGCTGCCTTTTATTTTATGTTCGTTACACCACACAACAGGGAACCGGGGCTGACTGAATACCCGTCACAATTGTTGTGTATAACAAAACATAATTATAGCTTCAGTCATTTGAAGCCAATGTGAATTGGCCACATGATTTAACAAGTATAATTTGCAGGGAACAACCAAAATGGGGAAGGAAGAAAGCCTACCTGGAGACGACATATCACAAAAAATGTAATTAGTTTAGCACAGATGTCACAAGAAGTGTTTTTCTAAATGCTATAAAAAAATGGTGACATTTTGGTGTAGGATATTAAGTAAATCACGGGTTTTGAACGTGAAACAGCAGAAGAACAGTGGAAAATTTTTAGATTGGTTACTGTTAAACCTGGGGGTTCCTTGCATAGAATGTCTTCCATGAGCTTTTGTCCTAAAATATTTAAGTAGAGCATGGTACCAATCAGTGCAACTCTTACTCATTTAAAAGCCTTTTAACAGTATTTGACCTTTCAGTTCAAATCTATCAGATGCCTCATAGATGCACTGCTATTGTAACCAGCTAGTGCCCTTCTCAGTGCTAATAAGTAAACATCAATTAATGCTACCTTTTTAACATGTGATATCATAGAAACATAGACTCATAGAATGTTTTGGGTTGGAAGGGACCCCTAGAGGCCACCCAGCCCAACCCCCCTGCAGGAGCAGGGACACCTTGAACCACATCAGGTTGCTCACAGCCCCGGCCAACCTGGCCTTGAAACCAGATAAATATAAAACCAGGCGTCCTGATGCTATCCAAGTAACTATTGAACTTCTGCTAGGAGCGGCAGTGAGGTTTCGGACACGTTTTATATTTTGAAATACAGCACCCTTCCAGTTTCAAATAGAATTATCTCCCTTGTTTGTCTCTGTAGCTGTCAAACCAGTGAATCATTTTGTGCACTCTCGAACACTTAACTACCTTTACCTCAAAGTGATTTGCCATCCTGATGGAGGACTATAGGTATAGTCTAACATTTAAAAAGGCCTATGCTTTTACAGGTTAGCATCTGGAGCAGATTCTCATTAGAGTAGGACCTCAATAGCCAGGTAGGCAGTGATTTTAAATTATTAAAAGATGATGGTTAGAAATGCAAAAGCTCACAGACTCTTCACTGTACAAGCAATGCTTGGCAGTGCTAAAAGTATAACAGAGCCCCAAAGAGATGCATAAATTAAAGGTCTGTCAGAATTTTTACTCTGCACATTTTCAAGTATTAATAACATCAGCGCAAAAATTCAATATAATCTGAACTGAGGTTCTCAGTGAAAAGGGAAAAATCTCATCGGCAAAATCTAATATGCAAGCGACACTGGAATGTGTACTCGGGAGTTGGAATCACAGAGCTTACACGAAAGGGTGGCAGGATGAACAGGAATCATGACTGTGTCTATGTGCATCAGCCAACAAGTTCACTCACAGCGGTAAGAGCTGTGCTCCTCCAGCCTGGCTGGAACTCATTACAGGCTGTAATTAAGGCTGGAGCACAACGTTGCTTTGCGAGGTAGACAAATGGGTTCTGTTGTTTACTGGTCTCTGAAGTCTGAAGGTGTACACCTAGTGCCAGACTACTAGATTGTTTCTCTCCCTATTTCTTACCCCAACGGCTGAAAAGCAGATGAAACGCTAAACTTAGCAACCTACTCTATTTTAATACTAATGGAGCAATGGGGTTTGTTGGAGAAACTCCTCGATTCCGAAACGCGCTCTTTCGCGCCAATGACGCTACAGTCTGTTAAGCATAAGAAGGGATTTACAGATGCATTCTGCATCATTAGCAATTTAAAATTTGAGTAGATTTTTGTTTGTGTTGATTTAAAATATGCAGCGGACCAAGAGCTTCTTTCAGTCAATGAGGTCCAATAGCCCATGTAAGACAGAGCATCCGACTAAATGATCAGAATCATCACAGTTACAGCCTGTGAACAAACAGCAACATCTGTTCCTAATCTGTCTCCTTTTTCACAGGAGAGAGGAATGGAGAAGGGAAGAGTAGACACATCTAGCAATTACAGTGTGAGTAGAAACATCTAGCAATTACAGCGCAGACCCCACTTCCGAGGCATGTACCCTCCGTTCCCTGCTTTACCATGGACATGGTGTCTACGTTCCTCAAACTTAGCATCTGCATTCCTCATTTCTAAAAATGGAATAATAGCATTCCTCTATCGCAGAGGGATGCTGCGAGACTGAATACATTAAAACCGGAGAGACGCTCCGAGAGCATTGGAGACTAAATAAGGATTTAAGATTGACAGGTTGATGCGCTAGGTAAGGGGTGTATGACAGACTGGTGGGTGAGGAGAATTCATTTGTGAGCAATCCTTTGTGGATATTCCATACAGCACTAACTACCTAGAAGTCCAGTTCTGATCCCTGAGTACATACATGGGCTCATTAACGATTTGTGGTGCTGTATTTTAAGTCATGCTAAGGATTTTAGCATATGGCAACTAAGGGATGCATAGAATCACTGGTTTTTGCTATAGGCAAATTAAATCAACTTAAATTATTACCTTACCAAAATTAAGTCTGAAATAAGACATTAAGATTAAAATATTTTCCTTGTTTTTAAACCAAACCTCATTTCTAGACTGAGGAAGGTTCAGTTTATTCAACTGCTGAGCAACTTAAGAGTTAAATCTTGCATCTACACGAGACCTTGGTTACCTGCATGTCAGCAAATCGGCAAATCCACCACTACTATAAAAAGGAAAAGCCCCAGTGCTCACTGGTTGCAGGTGCTTTTGCCACTCTTGGTTTTGGTGCCTGCTCAAATAGCTCAATCGTTACCGAAAAGCAGGTAAGCAATTTCAAGTGTAGGCATGAAAGGGTTACGCAGAAACACAAATGCATCCAAACTGGGGAAAAGAAAAAGAGAGACATTTATGTAATTTCTGACTTTTCACATATTTCACGCTCAGAATCTGAAAACACCTTCATTTTTTAAACAGCAAATTTGCAGATCATTAACTGGTAATGTGCACTACTGCCTTTGGGTCTTTTGAAAACAAAAATGAAAAATGATCTAATTAAGCCTGGTCTACTCGTTGCAGCACATACCAGGGATCCAAGTTTGATTACTGATTCCAGTGCTTGTGCTGGCAAGGTTTGGACCGTAGCACCGTGGTGGTGACATGCAGCAGCAGATGGGAGTAGGATTACTGCACGCTGGTTTAAAATGGCATTTTCTAATCAAACTCTGATGTTTGAGTGGCACAATACAGAATACTTTCCAGGCATTTGATCCAAGAAGCTGCTAGGAAAGATCTTTCTTCAGGAAAGGTAATAATACAATGGACATGGGAGCTCTGAATTTCTTAATACAGAGACCATCCTGGGCATTTTAGAAATCACTGGACATCGTTTATGGATGTTTATGTTTATGGATTCTATGGGTGTATGACAGTTTTTCACCGTGTATAGCCCAGCTTCCCTAATATTCCAACTTCATCATTCATTCAGTTTAGTATTTCTTTTATTTTGTCCATAGTTATTCATTTGTACATTTTTATATTGAGTAAAAACTACCATACTACAAAAGGTGAAGCGTTTGAGGGGCAGCTTGGCAGAAATCTAGACAGCAAAGGTGGCTTTTTGCTTTGCAGCTTCCTTTCCTGCTACTCATACCCAAACACATATGACTTGAAGTTTGCAGCTCCTTCTGTTCTGCCTATGCACCAAGTGCTAGAGCTCCCGTGCAGAAGAGCAGGTTGACAAAATGCAGGTCAGGTCATCTGCTACTGCTCCTCTGCTGAGGGATGGTGAAAGGCAGGGCCTTAGTAGACAGGGTTTCTACCAACCCAGCAGACATTCCTGCAGCCTTCAGTGTCTGCTGATAATAAAAAATTTAAATTTGCCCTGTCTCCCTGTGACTCTTGGAAGCAGTGAAAGTCTAATTACTGCCTGCATTCTTCTATTGGCATGGAAAGGAGCACAAAACTGTCACTTGCATGCCAGAGAAAATTAATCCCAGTCCTATAAATTACAGAGATTTATTAATGTTGTAAATGTGTTTCTTCCCCCTAGCTTGACTGCTGTGTTCTTACAGGCCTTCCTCTCTCTCTCTCTCTCCTACAGTCGTCAGTGTGGGAGATGGGTTGTCTCCGACATGGACGCTTGTTCTCCAAAGACAGAGATCCCTACTCTCACCTGGCCCTACGTACTAAACTGCTTTCTGATAGCAGCCAATCTCCGCTGAATTTTAGCAAACTAAGTAGTCTCTTTTAAGTGTGGCTAAGCAGAGATGGACTCAACAAACGTTAAGCCATTAGCATCTGTCTTGGCAATTATACAGCAATTTAAGAGAGCCATTAAGGTCCACTGGATGAATAACCCAGGTTTCAAACTGTTTCTTAGAACATATCGTTAAAAGAGTAACTTTTACAATGGCTAATTCAGTATCACAGGTCTTGGAGAAGACACAAGAACGTCCCTTACGATATTTTGTCATGAACTAATGGAAAAAGGACTTGGCCTCACAGAGCTAAGTGGATCTGAATTATCATACTTAGCTCTGAGTAATATGAGAGCTTTCAAAGGAGATTTTCAGTTAGGTGGTTCTTCCAAATTTCGGGCCAACTGGTGGGCTGTCATTCATACACCTACCATACACATTGAGTAGAGGATCGTGAAACAGACATGTATAAATGTGACTATTTGTAAAGTTATTGGGTAAGAAGTTAAATGCTCGTATGCGCCTGCCTTCATCTTTTGTGATAAGACTACACGTTTCTGTTTGAGTAAAACAGTTAATGTTCTGTGTGATGAAAAATGTCTTAATTAAGAGCCTTGCAGCACACAAGTGAAGCTTCAACTTAGTATCTGGCAAAAAGAAACCCCCAGATATTAAGAGAAGCAAGTAGCAACTCTACCAGTCTTATATGGTAATTTTACTCATTGACCATAAAATATACTTTGTATGTGTTTAAGATTCAGAATTTTGAAGCGTATCAACTTGAAGGGATGAGACTGCTCAGGAGAAAGACACCCTCGTTACCATTTTCATAGCCCTGAAAAAATATCAAATCTGCATAGCTTATATTATTAAGAGACATAATTCATAAACAGAATAATATGCTTGACATTTCAAACTTCCGATTTTACTTGGTAATGGGGTTTTCTAAGGGTCAGCACGAGCAGATAGGCATCTTCATGTGCTTGTAGAAAACCAAAGAGGTCAGATTCCTTTAGATGGCACCGGCTCAGCTCCACTGAATTCACTGGTGCTGCGCAGAGCCTCACCAGCTGCAAATATTACCTACCATCATCGGGCTACCTCTCTTCTACAGGGAGGTGGGGAAGCCCTGCATTGATTTATATTTGTTCATAGACACGTAAATGCCGAAGGTTTTGTATTTGGGGAAATTCAGTTGCTTAAGAGACACTTTCTAAGAATTTGCTGTATTTTTTCCTTTTATAAACACAACATCTTGTACGTTTATCAAACTGAGATCAGTCAGTGAAAAAAGAAACATCTTTGTACTCGGTGAAATACATAGGGTTAGAAAACATGCAAAAAGGTGTACAGAGAAACTTTAGAAGAGTGTTAGTTTAAATAGTATGGACAAAATTCAGTCAAAAGGTGGGATGCAACATATCAAAAGTCCATTTCAAGAAAACAAAAACCCCTTCTTTTTAAATATCGTTACTGGTTTGTATCAAAACGTAGAACTTAACAACATTCTTTCTTTTAAAAAATTAAAAATATATATATATGTATAACAACAAGCAAGAAGACAAAACACATCAAAAATGGGAATTAAAAAAAAAAACTCTTCAAAAGAAGACAAGAAGTCAAAAAAAGAGGGGAGAAAAAAGATTTTCAGGGATCCTTGTCATGCAAATCAGTTTGGCGGCAAAAAAAATACCTTCATCTTCAGCACCGTCATTATCACCTAAATCATCTGTCTGTTTCTTTGTAAGGGGACCTAGGATTGAGAACGGAGAAAATGGAGGAAAAAAGACAATTCAAGAATATACAAGACTGAGGAAAAAAAACAGTGAATATTAAATTCCCATGGATGTTTCAAGAAAAACATTTGCAGGGAGGGAAATCTTAGTTTATAACAACCCATTTTTCATTACGTTTTTCAAACATTACAGCAAAATCTTCCCTAGGGGGTATGGCTATTAGAAACATCTAGCACAAGAATCAAAGAGTGGCCAGTGCTTTATTGTTTCTTAAATGAAGAATCAAAGCTTGTTTACTAAAAGCATACCCACCATAAACTACAGTTATCCACTTAATTTAATTGGGTTTTTTGTTGTTGTTATTAGGAATAGCAGAGACGAGAACTGCCAAATTACCTTTTGCATTTGATGCAATAAGGTGGCTAATAAATGTCTTGACAGTTGGTTAAAACAACATTTTCTGTGAAATGCTAATTCACATTTCTAAGTTCAACCATTTAAGCTCATGCTTTACAAAGATAAGCATGGGTTGGGCTTTTTTTTTTTTTATTTTGACACACTCATTACATTCTCTTTCAAATAGAACTGTAGATTCCCTTGAAACCTTTGACTACCTGCTGAGATATTTGTAAAGAAACATGAAAATCCATATGTAAGGCAGCAACAAGAGTGAAATCCAAGACCAACTGAAGACAATGATTTTTGCCATTGATTTCAATGGGGCCAGGGTTTCACCCACTGTATACAAGAGACTCGCACTTAGTACGGGAATTGAAGCTTTAGCTTGGGCAAGACACACAATATCATAATTCCTTGTTTCTATAAATGGATAGCAAGACAAAATTCTTTCATGCCCAGCACCTGTATTGTTAACAAGTATTAATAGATTCATCATATTTTCCAATGGGAAAAATGCCCACTCCTTTACTGAGTAATAAAAACATACACCAGAAGGAAAGTCAAAGGCTATTCTGAAAATATTTCCATGTCATATATTTTTACACACTTACGCACAAACAAAAGACAGTTGGAACTCAGCATTATCTTTCCTTTTTTTTCAGAGCTCTCTCATTTCCATGACATTCTGTAATTTGCATGCAAAAAAGCAATCAGTACAAACACGGGACTAAGTAACAGAAAAAGAAAAAGCCAGCCAAGCACAGAGTAGAAAACAAGAACTTTCTCATGCATAAAATAGCAATAGACAAAAACAACAACAAAAAAAAGAGATGAACAGTATGTGTTGATATTCGCAGTAGATGTAGGCAAGAGACATGCATTAACTCTTAGCACTATGAAGTATTAAAACATTTGTATTTAAAAAGCTCGCTCTAGCTCTGCTATTTTACAGGATATTAGTCATTCAGCATTAAACCTGTTGTTTATAGGCGAAATACCATGTATTTGAGTAATGCATTTAAAAAAAAAAATAATTCATAAAATGTTTGTACCGGGTGCATGGATTCGAGAAACAGAAACAACCCATGAAGTACCATGAAATTTTAACTGTGAATGTAGGAACCGGACCATATTATTGAAAACCAAAGCCGAATACCTTAATTACTGCGTCAGCCAGGAGTACAGTTTTAAATGTACTAAATACAGAACACCAGAATTATACACCATAAATTAAGCACGAGCTTTTTTATATAGTCACACCTGCAACAATCATTCTGTTTAGTACAGAGCCTCGGTGAATGCAATAGCTCTTCCCAATACAAGCCCTGGACGTAATCTTTACAATATATGTTATCTAGATAATGCAACCCAACCCAAATCCACACATTTAAATGTCTTGCTGCCCATCATTCTCATATCATAGCAACTTCACTTCTGAAAGAAGAAAACTAGACAAGTAAAAGACGTATGCAAAGAAGCAGCGTAATTTCATGGTGGGTTTTCAGCACAGTGAACAGGAAGAATGGACTTAAAATTCTAAGAACTAGGCACGTAACGGCGCTATGCACTTAATAATGGCGAGCCGCCACAACCAAAGAGAGATACATGTGCACGTTTTTCATGGCTTCTTATTTTCTTTTACATTTTTTAAAAGTCACCAGAAAGGAACAAAGTAGCCTCTGGAAAGGCAAACAGCACACATTTCTCCAAATAACTTGCACAGAGAAGGCATGTTCTTTTCTGGATGAAACCAAGACAAGGAGTGTTACGTGTTGTGAAGAGCTGGCCTATAGATCATGGCGCCAGACCTCAACAGCAGTTATACAGTGCATCAAACACCTCCACCCAAATGACCCATCTCCTACCATCTCTGATTTTACAACACGGTGAAGCATAATTGAGGCTAGCTATTAAAAATAACCTGGCTAATTTTACTATTTATACAGGTGCGAGTTTCTCTGAAACCAATAAAAAAACCCAGAACATCTTCCTCATAATCATGTTGCAATACACATTATACACAATTCCTTTTGCAAAGGAGCTGACCTATTTTTAAGCTGCCGTAGATGAAACGTGCTTTCTGATACAGCTGCGTATCTATTTCACAATCCCGGGGCTCTGCTTGCCACATCCCCTAAGCAGGGGAAACTCATCCCTGATGGGACATGTGGCAGACCCACCAGGCACCACCATCAGTATTCTGTTAAGAAAGAGAGGAGATGTGATTTCTGCCATGAGTTCACTCCAGTCTGCAAATATAACGGACCACATTCATTACATCTCAGCCACAGCTAAACTTAAGAGAAACACAGACCAAAACGCTTCAGGCAAATCTTCTGCTTCCTGGAGTTACAACGCTACCCGAGGTCTAGAAACCAACGCTGAGTTTGGTCTTCATGCACCAGGCGTGAGACTACTTACCTACTAATCTGTACTTTACTGATACATACAGGGATGCTGTAAACCTTAATTAGTGTTTGCAAATTGCTCTGCAATCCCTAGAAGAAGCATCGCCCCCAGGACCCATGGCTGCCTAAAGCCACACACAGCAACATCAAGTGGCTCGATCCTGAATCCTCAAAGAGGAAGCAGGGCTCTGAGCTTGACTGGTTATGCTCCATCTTGCCCGTTTCACGTCTGGCTGCTGAAGAAATTTTCTGAAATCACGGAGGCAGTGTTAAGAAAAGTTCTGGATTAGACTTCCACCCATTTCAGCAGTAATTCTCTTCTAATGCTCCGGATAACAGAGTACATCGACTAACAGCATCGCCGTGTCTGTATGGTCATAGAGACAGACGGACGGCTTGAGTCCTTACACAGGAAAACATGCTGAAATTGCCATCAGATAAACAAAATCAAACCTTCTGGAAAGATCCTACAAAATGTAGCAGCAATAACCTTTTTAAGTAAATCAGGACTGAAATTGCTTAGTAGGTGTAGAATTTTCATTTTCTCCAGGTTTGAATTAATATTTATAGTGTGTTGACCCTGGCTGGACGCCAGATACCCCCCAAAGCTGCTCTACCAGTCCCCACCTCAGCTAGACAAGGGAAAAAAAAAAAAACAACCACATAACTAAGAGCTCGTGGGTCAAGGTAAGGACAGGGAGAGGTCACTCAGCAAGCACCATCATGGACAAAACAGACTCAACTTGGGGAAATCAGTTTATTTCCAATCAAATCAGAGTAGGATAATGAGAAAATAAGAACTAAATCTTAAAACACCTTCCTTCCACCCATCCCCTTCTTCCTGGGCTTAACTTTACTCCTGATTTTCTCTCCCTCCTCCCCCCGAGCGGCACAGGGGAATGGGGATTGGGGTCAGTTCATCGCACGCTGTCCCTGCCGCTCCTTCCTCCCCAGGGCAGGACTCCTCACACGCCTCCCTGCTCCAGCCTAGGGTCCCCCCACCGCTGGCAGTC